TTTAGTGTAGGATAATTACATATTTTTGTTTTAAATTGGCAATTTTTGTTGTATTAAAAACAAAATTTTTTTTATAAATAATAAATTTCAATATTAAAAAAATTCGACAAAATCCACTCGTTTACGACAAATAGATCCATTTTCTGCTGGATTCACAGTAAATTGACGTTTGTGACTTTATATCGACCATCTATTATTATTAAAATAACTTTTTATAATTTATTCGTTATTAATAAAAATAATACATCTATAAGATAATCATTTTGAACATGAAAAATAATAATGAATGTAAATTATTAATATTATAAAAACTATGTTGTTTATACTTAAAAAATACTACCAGCAAATTCATATTTGTATTCCAGTATTGGTAAAATTTTAGTTTTTTAATTCAACTTCTTGGCAATTTCAAATACATTCAATATATATATTTCAATTTAATCTATTTTCAGCAAAAAAATAATATTTTTTTAGAATTTAAAAGGTTTTTTTAAATTTAAACTATCGATAATGGTTTAAGCAATTTTTTGTATTATTTTGATTATTAATGCTAATGGTGTAATTTTTTTGAAACAACTTTCGGTCATTAAAAACATATTAAATATTGAGCAATCATAATTATTTTTTGTTTGAAAACAAATAAAATTCATTTATTATTTTCATTGGAAATTTAACAACAATGTTTAAATAACAGTGACTCTTATAAAAATTGTTCCGATTTTTATGTAATTAAACTTTTATTTTATTAATTAACTATTTTCAATACATATATGATTAATAATTATAATTAATAACGGTTCTAAGTTGTTAATTTCTGTTATTTTATATAGTGTTAATAAAAAAAAATCAAATAGTTGTTTGTTTTTTATTTGCTAGAAATAAGCCAAACTATGTATTGTTTTTTAAATAAATAACATAATTAATTTTTAAATTCAGCAAAAATTCTCATTGGTAAGTTTTTTAATAAATATAATATTCTAAATACCATTATAAATATTAAATATAATAATTATTTTCGATAAAAAAACAAATATCAAAACAATTTTTTTATAGAATTTAGCTTTAAAACATTTGTAATTAGCAACGTTTTAATTATATACTTTCAAAAAGCAAAGTGACGTCCACACAACCAGAACAATATCATGGTAGTAACTTTTACTTGACGACAGAACTACAATTTGATGTTTGGGAATGTCAATTTTGTTGTTCTTATTGTTTATGATTTTTCTTGTTGTCATTAATTATTTTAGTTAAAAATTAAATTGTTTGTTTTTAAATTCTTATGTTGTATTTATCACATTAAAAAACAAAAGGTTTGCCTAATTGTTGATTGTAATGTCATTTTTAACAAGTAGTGTTTGCAAAAAACAATTAATCAAACTGTCTAATTTTGTTTTGATTTTAAAAACAAAGATTTATAACAATAAATAATTTAAAAATGAAAAAGAATGACAAAAAACTATTTTTGCCTCTTAATAATTTTGATGTAATAAATACAGTTTTTAGACTGACTTTAGATAAATCTTTTTTTAAGTTTTCAATCAAAAATAGCAAAAACTAGTGATTTTCTAAAGTTAAGAATAATCAAATATGTAAAAGTGATTTATAAAATTTGAAAAAAAAACTTTAGTTCACTAACCACGAAACACTAACCGTAAATTACCAAATGACAAAAATTATAAATTATAATTATTTGAAATTATTTATTATAAACTTTATATTATTTAATTTGTCATTAAATTTTATTTTACAAAATTTATTTGTTTCCAAAAATAATTATTTAAAATTAAAAATAAACAATGAGACTATTGTTACTTATATTAAAAAGTTAGTCGGAAAATGTAGTCCTGAGCTTTTTGTAAATGACAATTGTAAAAATAGGGATTATGTTCAAAATATAAAAATCTTTGTTTCAAATATAGATTATTTTTTGATATTATTATTTATTCGTGTTTATAAAAACAATCATTTGGGTATGAATTAATATAAATGTTGGCGACTAAGACTACATCCAATGACAAACTCAAAAATTTTATTTTTAAATTTTATAGAAATATTTATAAAAATATAAATCTGTAAACCCAAAATAATGATTATATTCGTATTATTGGTTCACACAATTGCTTATTATTGTGACGATGACAATGGTGTATTTTCCGAAACTAGTTCCACTTGTGTGTACAACACTGGAGCATCATTCGATTCGGAAACATCTAAAAAAACTTTAATTTTAACAGATTATATTTTTTCAACAGTAGTTTTAAACGATTTTAATTATCACTTAACACTTGGTACAACTACAGTCACTTGTTCAGTCACTCATTTGACTATAAAATCAAAAACTAATAATTATGCAACGTTTACCATTCTTAACGTAAAGCCTACACTTATAATAGAATTGGATAGTGGCCCCACAGAATCTGTCAGAAGTTTCCATCTTAGTTCCTTAACACTACCAAGTGAAATTATTAATGTAAACTCAAACAAAATACCACTATATTTGTATTTAAACGTTGAAGGACTTGGACTTTCAGAGACAAACAACTATCTCTTTTTAAAAGGATCTTTTAATTTGATAACATCACCTACAAGGCCATATGTCGGGTATTTGTTTTCGTCCAATTCAAGTGAAATTACAACACAAAAAGTGGATCAAGGTGAAATCGTCTCAATCAGTTGTGTAAACGGATATACAAGATACTATGCTTTTTATGATTCAATAGAACACCAATTGACTTGTCAGTGTCCTCTAGACGCTATTGATGATCGAAATTGTAAAGTAAATTTTACATACAGTACTACAACATCAGCTCAGGTTTTTATGGCATCGGGAGACCAAAATATATATAGAAAAGATACTAATTACGAAACTATTGGCGACGTTGGATATACCGGAGGATCAATATACGTTTTAATGTATAGCAATTATATTTTTACAGTTAAAAATTTGAATGGTTGTAATCTTGCTTTATGTACCAAATTATTTACAATTTACGAAATTATTTTATCAGATGGTTTAAATGGTGATTTAAAATTGATTACATTTGAGAGTGAAAATAATAATTATTTGTATTTAGAATCAAATTCATCGACGGGATATATGGTGAAAAACGGAAATACTTTTAATATTTTATTTATGGGAAAAGATGGCACAACTCTTAATACAGAAGATTATCCTTATAACTTTATGAAAACCAATGATTGTCAATGTTTGTTGATATATTTTTTAATAAATACAAATATATATATAATAATTTGTTATTAAAATCAATATTACCTTAATTTTACATTATATAATACAAATTATCATTATTATATATTAGTGCTTATTTGTTATTAATTAAAATAGCAACAACTCATTAACTTTTAATGGTTACAAATACAAAAGTATTATTTAATTATTTTATTAATTTAAATAAACTAATAAAAAGTATTTTATATCACAAAATTAAATATTATAAAATGTCTCACGTGTCCCCCAGAACAACAAATGCAAAACGGTTTATGTAAGTGTTTATATACAAAATTAGGAACTAATTGTGTATTAAATCATTGCGTTTTATATGAAAATGGAATATGTCGACAATGTGAAGACAGATACTTTTATGATGGAATAACCAAAACATGCAAATCGTGTGGTATTAATTGTAACAATTGTGTAAATAGCACATTTTGTTATAATTGTTTTTTCAACAATTTAATTATTAATAATGGAGTTTGTGTGAATTCGAATTGTCTACTTTCCAACAGTGGGAGGTGTGTAAAATGCGACAAAGGATATTATATTTCAAATGGAAATTGTGTTGTTTGTGACATTCGTAATTGTGATTATTGTTCGACTCAAACGAAATGTTCGATGTGCCATGTTGGGTATTATTGGGACGGGTTTTCTTGTGTAAACAACAAAGGATTTGTCAACACAAATAACAAACTGATATATTGCACATCAGCTACAGACTATTTGAGTGATGATAAATGCAATAATTGTACTTCAGACATTTCCAATTGTGAGATGTGTATGGATGGAAAGTGTATTAAATGTCTTGATAATACCATATACACCAATGGAGAGTGTGTAATAGAATCGTCTTGTAATTCTATAACAAACAATAAATGTATGTGTTACTCAGAATCGATATATAATGGGAATGCTTGTATTTCGAAAAGAGAAAATTGTTCATATGATAGATTAAGTGGGTGCGATGAATGCATTGAAGACCATCATCTTGTATCTAACACGTGTACACCACAAGTTGAACCAAATTGTTCTTTTCAAATGTCATCCACTTGCATTTCCTGTGATTTTGGAATGTATTTAGAAGATGGTGGCAACTGTGCTGAGTGTCCAATAGAGTGCACATCGTGTATATCTAATTCTAAGTGTATCTCATGTACAAATGATAAATACTTACAAGACCACACATGTATTTCCAGTGACGAATTGAGTAAAGTGTGTGACAAACCATTACTAACAGGGTCCGGGTGTGCAATCTGTAAGAGTGGATATTATAGAAGTGGTAATGGCTGTCAGGTGTGTAATATTGGATGTGCTACATGCAATAATAACCTTAGATGTACTACATGTCAAAGTGATTATTTCATGACTTATGATGAAGGAGTCTGCAAGTTAAAAAACAGTACAGTTGGGTGTATTGATATTAACACTGTTTTAGGATGCATTTCATGCACTTCTGGCTATTATTTATATTACAAAGAGTGTGCACCTTGCTCTGAAAATTGTAATCAATGTACTTCACAAACAACATGCCAGACATGTGAGTCTGATTTCGTTTTGGTAAATTCACAGTGTACATCATTAGAATTAGTCAAAGACTGTGTTAAAGTATCTGACTCCAAATGCTCTAAATGTACATTTTGGCACTCTCCAAGTATTGATGGATCATCTTGTGTAACAAAGGCAGTTTGGTGGGTGATATTTATAATAGTTTTAATAGTTATTTTACTATTAATTATATTACTTATAGTAATCATAGTTGTCACTAAAATGATTCTTGACAAATTACACAAAAAAGAAGTTGAGAAGACCACAACAATTTTTAAAATGAAAAAATCGAATATCCACTTTGAAACCCTTCAAGGTGGCATTTGTGTGTCATCAAAAACAATTGATTTTAACTCTGAGAATGATGAAATTCCAGTCAACACAGAAAGTCGTGAAGTTTTCTGTGTTGGAAATTTGAATGAAAATGTTGTCAAAATTCAATTCACTTTAATGTCAAACGTCGACAAATTTACTCTTCGAGTGTCTCCCGAGTTGATTTCACTCAAGAAAGGCTTTGCGTGTGAATTTTCGTGGTATTTGACGCCATTGTGTACTTGTCAGATTTTTAGTTCCATTCAAATTGTTGCCAAAAACTTGAAAACAAACGACGAAAAGTTCAATGCAATCAAAGTTGTTGGTGTCACCGAGAAATCGACGCGAATTGATTACGACGAGTTAAAAGAAGATAAGAAACTTGGGGAAGGCTCTTTTGGAGTTGTTTACAAAGGAACTTTCAGAGGAAATGTTGTTGCAATTAAAAAAATGAAGAATTTTTCAAATGATGATAATTCGATGGAGGAATTTGTAAATGAAGTTGACATGTTGAACAAATTTCGCAGTGATTATATCGTCCACTTCTATGGCGCGGTGTTCATTATAAGTAAAGTTTGTTTAGTCACTGAATTTGCACAATTTGGGAGTTTAAAGGATTTGATGCAACATAAAAAGAGTGAAGAAGTTGAGACAAAAGTTCGAATTAAAATGTTAGTAGACTCTTCTAAAGGAATAGCATATTTACATGAAAATGGGATTTTACATAGAGATATCAAGCCAGATAATATCTTAGTTGTTTCAATTGATTTGAATGATAGTGTGAACGCAAAATTGACAGATTTTGGGAGTTCAAGAAATATCAATTTACTGATGACGAACATGACATTCACCAAAGGAATTGGAACACCTATTTATATGGCGCCTGAAATGCTGAGAAGAGAAAAATATAAGAAAAGTGCTGATGTGTACTCATTTGGAGTGACAATGTATGAAGTAGTTGGGTGGGAAGAACCATTCAATAGAAAACAGTTTAAATTTAGTTGGGACATCGCCGATTTCGTTGTGGCTGGTAAACGCTTGGAAAAGCCAATGGATATGAGAGATGATATATATATTGTGATTCAAGAAGCCTGGTGTAAAGACAAGAACATGCGTAACGATATCAATTCTATTCAAGAAAGTCTAGAAACTATATTAGATGTGTTATAACTTAAATTTAATGTACAATTTTTTAAAAAATATGTTATTACTTCTTTTTTGTTTAACACTTATAATAAAATTATACAACATTTAAGTTAGTGTTGTCGAAAACATAATGAAACATCTATTATATAGAATACTTTAAAAAATAACATTATTTAATGTGTTTTTTAATAATAGTGAAAAAATTAATAAAAAATATTTAAAAAAAACTAGTCAACCAAAAAAATATCAATGTTATTTTCTTTGGTTTTTAGGTAAATTATATTATTTTTACTCTTTTGATTTGTAATACACATAAAAAACATTGAAGTAAATATGTTATTTGTTGATAAAACAATGACGATTGGTCACAAGGTACATTAGTGTTTTATGAAAAAGTCGAGAACAAAAGTAACTTGTGCTTTTTGGTAGAAGACACAAATCACAACAAGTTTGGTGGTGTGTACACTGGAGATGTTGATGATGTTGACGATGATTTTGGAGAATTTTTCGACAATTCTTACTTATTTTCACTTGTGAGAAATTACACTTTGAATCCAAGAAAGTTTGAAAATAGAGATTATTTTTCTAATGGATTATATCTATATCTTCAAAACGAACCACATCTCTTCAAATTTGGTGACGGTCATGATATAGGTGTGTTCAAGAAAGGTCAAAATGGTAGTTATTGCAACCCACAAACTTACACCTCCAAACTGAACGAGTTGAGTGACAAATATTTCACACCAAAAAGTGTAGTTGTTTTCCAACTCAATTGACTTTTTTGTTTTGTTTTTATTTACATTTTCAAATTATTGCAACATGTTGGCGGCAAAGTGCCATTTGTGATTTGCCATGTCATCACAAATGAAATAAACGTACATTAAGTTTTAATAAAATCTGTTTTTGAATGGTTATAGATGTAAAGAAAAAAACGGAGAAGTTTTATCCTCGTTTTAACTATCATTGAAATATAAAAATAAACCGAACCTTTATTCAATCAACAACATTTTTACCATGACTATAGTTTTTCAATTTTTTTAAAAAATAAATAATTACAATCAACATAAAGAAAAATAGAAAAACTTGAATCAACGCTGTTTCCAAAATCAAACAAAAACACCGTTTTTATCGAATCTATTTTATCAATAAAAAAGAAAGTTCATTTGAGTAAAAAGATTCGAAAAGAATTATGGTGTGGCTTTTTCCCCACTCTTTAAGTTTTGTTTTTTTCCTTTGAAAATTTCCAATAAATATTTTTACTAGTTAATGATTAAACAGTATATAGACCTCCTATTAACCCATAAACAAAACTTAAAATAACGATGAATTATCATTTTCACCTGATATTAAAATGTTAATATCTGTTGATCTTTACTGTATTCGGAAAGGCTCTTTCTCCAATTAAAGTTGCTCCTTCAGGAATGTCTATATTTTGCAAACTGTTGCACAACTGAAAAGCATCAGTTCCAATTTCCTTCACATTTTTGGGTATATTGATTTGTTCCAACGCATAACACTCTGAAAAACATGCATCTTCTATTTTGGTCACCGTTTCCGGTATCGCAACTTTACTCAAATTTCTACACTCACAAAAGCAGCAATTTCCCAAGCACTCGATACCTTCTGGAATAGTCATTTCAATCAAATCATAACACCCATAAAACGCATTTTGTCCAATTTTCTTCATTTTCTCTGTGAATTGAATTGAAGTTATCGAATCACAAAATTGGAATGAAAAACTTTCTAATTCAACCAAATTTGAAGGTAATTTGATAGCAGAAAGTGCACGACAATTCATAAAACAGGTCGACTCGATTTTGGTCACACTTTCTGGTATTTCTATCGCTGAAAGTTTTTCACATCCATTGAACATATTATCTGGAAGAACTTCAATGTTTTTGTGGAAGTTTAACAGTTACAAGTGAACTACACCCTTCAAAGCAACTTCTACCAATGTGGTTGACAAACTTTGGAAATTCAAATGATGTCAAATTACCACAACGATTAAAACAGAAGTATTTAATAGCCAAAATGTTTTGTGGAACAACAAAAGTAGTCATCTTCTTTGTATTAGTATAACAAGATTCACCAAGAGAATTGACACATTCAGGAATTGCTATACCAAAAATCTTACGGTCGTAGCTTTCATATGTGACATTTTTAAATGTGAACATTTTGTTCTCTTCTTTCTGTGTAGTGTGGTAATTGACATTGAACCAAACGTTTATATTAAAGAACTTGACTTTTTGAGTTGCATCTGTTATTTGAGAAGTTGTCTGTCTGTACTCTATTTTGGTTTCTTCGATTTCATCAATTTCTTCTTCAACGTTAATGTTTTCATCTTCATTTTGATTTGTTGTTTGTTCAATGACATCTTCATTACTTTCGTCATTTGTTCTTTCTTCTTGATTATCAACAATCTCTCCATTTTCTTGTGATAAGAAGTCTGGCTGAACATCACAACAATTGATTGTTTCGATATTTTGTTGTACGGTTTCTTCATCTTGGTCATTCCAATTGTTCTCTTCGTTTTGATCATTCGGTTGGTCATTCTCTTCGTTTATTTTCTTTGTTTCGTTTTCAACAACTTCTTCATTATTTTGCTGTGGAAGCTCGACGTGATCATCACCACAATCGTCAGTTCCACAGTTTGGTTCTTCATTGTCATCGTTTACTTCGTCTTCGTCATTGTATTCATCATAAACTACTTTTGGCTTATAAGCGATGAGGATTGTGTTTCCAAAAGATTCGTCTTCTTCAGACCATAAATTGAGTGTTTCTATCTTTGAAAAGAATTTAAAAGTCTTGAGAGTGAGAGGTATTGGATTTGCATGGAACATATCCATATTGTCTTTAAATTTTGTGTTCACAAGAGTGAAATTGATAAAGTCGATCATTGAGGAGAAGTATTTTGAAACAACCATTCCATGGAATGTATCAATACGAGTCATGTAGTATTTGGATTTTAATATTTCAATGACCCATTTATATCTTTTCTATTCGGCAAAATGTCTATGTAAAATAATTTAGACATCAAAAGTCTAATAAAATAGAAGTTTTTTTATACATTTTAAAAATGCTCTAACCAAAATTATTTTTAAAATAAAAAATTTATATTCTTATTTTAATATATTATAGTACATTTATTATAATTGCATAATATAATTATCAACTTAAAATAAAAAACAAATTAAATCCATTATTAGATTTTTTGAGCTTTCAATCGTCACTTTTTGTATTAAATTGACAACATTGACCGAGAATGACTCATTGTTGAAGATTAATATGAATGTATTTTAGTGTAGTCGAAACCGATTCCGGAATCGGCTTTTCTTGAAACATTTGGGAAATATTTTTGATTCCCGAATCAGAAGTTTCAGGAATCAATAAAAAAATATTTGGGGAATTTTATTTTTTTTATCAAATTCCCGAACCGATTCCGGAATCAAAAAATATTCCGGAATATTTTTAACCTCGGTTCGGGAACATCCTGATTCCCAAACTTAAAATTGGTGTGTTCCCGAACCAATAAGTTCCCGAACACACTGGTTCCCGAACTTCATAAAAAAAATATTCCCAAACTTTTGATTCCGGAACATGGCGGTTCCCGAACCGATTCCGGAATCACCAGTATTATATTAAAAATTTATTAATAAGCAAACTAAAAAAATAACAACTTTGTTTTAATATTAAAATAGTAAAAAAATTAAATTATTCAAAAAACAATTGAATAATATTTGTCCAACCATAAAAAACTTGTACAGTCACAAACCTTACTTAAATGTTTTTAATTATTGTTCATTTTAAAACGTTAAACAAATTTAATAATTATACACCAATAAGAATCAAATCAAAATAATAAAAATAATCAATTTTTAATTTACACATAACTTTTTCAAGCATCTATTTTTTCTTGGCTATTATATTATGTTAATATAAATAAATACTCTGTTTGTTTTTATATAATAATATTATAATAATCATTTCGAATAAATTGTTGATTTTTAAACCAAATTGGATTGTTATAATACCCATTTTGTTTTTAAAATTATTAATAATATCCAAAATGCAATTTATTGACATTGAATTAAACTATTTAATGATGTTTTAAACGTTGTCTGGTTGACTAAATTACATTTATAATGTTTAAACAAAATTTATGTAAAAAATCAAAAACTTTAAATATAAATGAAACTTTAATATAATGGTATTTTTTTAAAAAATATAAATTTTCAAATTTTAATAAAAATAACAATCAAAGGTTAAATATATACAACATTTTGTATGTTTACTTTATGTTTTTTTTCAATCTATTATAATAGAATGAATTTGTTTTCTATATATATTACACAATAAACGTTTTTTCTTTTTGTTGATAATCATAGTTTTTTTTAAAATTACAATTCTAATTACCCACGTCACCTTTTTGATACCAAAATGTTTATTTCTTTTGTTAATCCGTACATTACAATACCACAATTTCTGCGATAATTATTTTAGAAATTAATGTTGATAATTATCGGTTTCATTTATTTATTCAATAAAACTAAAAATAAAAATAAAAATTTAAAAGTTTCAAATAATAAAAATGATTTTGATAATTGTTCATTAGAAATACACAAAAAAATATGAATATTATTTGTAATATAATTTGTTTTAACTCATTTAAAAAATCTTTCGTTTTTTTATTTTGAAATAATTTATTGGTATTTTTTTAATATCAATAAATTGTTCAAAAATAATCATTTTAAATTGAATAAATTTCAATAAATTGTTTATTCTTCGGTTGTTACACAAATCATTTTTAAACGTTGATATCAAAATTTGTCTGGTCGAATTGTTTAATTATTAAAATAGACATAGTGTTTAATAATGATATTTATTGTGTTTGTTTTAGATATTTTTATTTTATAAAGTAGAATTTTAAATAACATTGGAATTGTTTTATATTTTACAAAATAAGACTAACTTGATATTGATTAAGTTGTAAATTTTATAACAAATTTGAAAACAATAAAACTCAAATTCAATAAATTAACAACATAATTAAAATGTATGAACAAAAAAGACAGTATCAAAATACATAAAAAATGTGCGTTTTTTGATTTTGTAACTTGTATGTAATAAATTGATAAGTATGCAACATATAAAGTTTGAAATCACATACTGAACAACAGGAAATAAATTAAAAAGTTAACTTCGAAGTAATCACAAATTTTGGTTTATGATATGTAAAGACAATTATTTATCATCACATTAATTAGGTGTGACTTGTAATAGTAAGTGTCATTATTAAATGTTTGAAACTTTTTTGTTTTGTCTTTGGAATATAGATTAAAATTTTCTCAATTAATTACAATTTGTGTAACAAATATTTTTTGAGATATTTGCACATGATAAGTTACATTGTGTTAATATGTTTAATGTACTAATCGGTATATTATTTTTAAATAATACAATGAAAAATGTGACATTTACAAATAATATTTATTTTCCAATTTGATTATTTATCGAACCTCAAATAATATTGATATTTTAACTTATTACATTTAACAATAATTAAAATATATTGTTTTATGTTATTTTATTTTAATTGTTTTTATATTCATTTAAATGATGTTAATCAATTTGGTGTTAATTATTGCTTTCAGTTGTTTTTAATTTAAAACTGTGTATAAATATTGATATTATGTTTATCAATTTTGTCTTTTCATTTACAACAACAACGATTTTATAAAGAACATAAGTTATATTTATGTTATATCATCACCACTAGACACCAAAACAGTTTTAAACAATAGAATATTTTTTGTTGTATCAAAAATCAATTACATCAAATATGACTAAACAAAAGTCAGTTTAAGAGTAAACATTTTGTTTGAATTTACACTTTGAAAACACAAAATACAAATAAATATGAACATGAACTTTGATACTATAGTCACTCAACCAAAGTTATTTGCTTTAAAATTAGCCAGTATCTTTTGGACTAAAATGAGTGGATAATTTCTGTAAATTATTTTAAAAACCCATTGAATTCTTTTAGTTTTTCACATTTTTGAGTTTTTACCCAATTTTCATTATTTTAAACATAAATACGACTATTTAATTAAAATAAGATAATTTTTCTGAACACATAACGTTTTATACTGACTATAGTCAAAAAATGAAATCATAACCGATGTAATAGCAAAATTTTAGAACGATATTCAAACAAAATAATTTTAATGTGTGAATAATCAACAGTATATTTAAAATCAATTTCAAAAATCAATGTAATATTAAACACTTTATCAACTCAAATATTTGTATTGATACTTGATTTTTAAAATATTATTAATAAAATAGATGTTATTGTCGATGAATGTTTGATTTTAACCATTGTTTAATATATCTATGTTTAGCATTTGTTTTTGTTTGTAATTTTACATTTTGTTTAAAAATAATAATTTTTAAAACAACTTATTTTACATATTTAACATGATGCACAATGATTTGTGCCTCCAGTATATTAAAAAAATATAATGTAGATACATAGATTAATTTACATCTTTAATTAGTAAATTGATGTACATAAATGCGATGTAAATTATAAGTAATGTTTCAGCAATAATTTCAATAATAATTAAATTATAATTAATAATTTTTATTTATTCAATTAATTAATTTTTATAACGAATACACCGATAATTTATATCAAAAGAAAACTATAATATTAATAAATAATTCGAAAATGTTCATTTTTAGTATTTATTACTTTTGGAATAACAATATTTACAATGAAACATTTATTGTTTAATTTAATAACACATTAACATATTATTGTGGATTAATTTGTTTATTATTGTGTATTATTAATATATTATTTAAATGTAATTGTTAATTTTAAGTAAACTTAGAAGTAATTTACAAACTTTTAAAAACACTCTTTCTATTTAAAAGATTGTTCGAACATGAAAGTTATTAAGTAATTTTCGAATTGTTAATTGGTTGATTGGTTGATTGTTTACTTTATTTTGAATGTATTTTTACACCAAAACATCAAGTCGTTTTCAAATAATATTTTGAGTTTATTTTTTTGTTTTTAAAACAAATCAAAAAAAACAAACCACAAAATGTTACAAATAAAATGTTTTAAGTCAAAAACAATCAAATAATCAATTGTGGTAGTTAAATACAATCATATTTAAATAAAAAAATAAAATAAAATAACAAACAATGTCTGAAGAAATATCAATTGAACACATAGTAATTTGGAGTAATTGTAAACTTGTCGTTGTTCAAATAACAAATGGAGAAGATGGTGAGAAAGAAGAAACAATCAAGACATACAATGAAACGGATGTATATGAATATGATCAAAAGACTGGCAAAAGACAACACAAAAGAAAAAAAATTGACATGGTTCAAGGTATATACAAGTTTGAGTGTCAACATTGTAAAGCGAGATACGCATGTGGCAGCAGTTTTACTACAACAAATGTGCTCAAGCATTTAAGAAAGAAGCACCCAGATTGTTGTGGTATCCCACAACTTGAAAAGAAACGTGGCGAATACAACAAAGGTATAAGAGACCCCAGTGTTCTCCACAGAAATATTGATGAACTTTTGGTGCACCTGGTGTCATTTCCTGGCATACCACTATCTATTGTAGAATATGAACCTTTCGTCAAACTTTTAAATCTCTTTGATAAAACTTACAAACCGCCATCTCATCAGACATTATCAACGAGGTTGAAAGATACCTATATTAAATTGAAAACAAAATTGTCACAAGAAATAGGCGAATCACAAAGCGGCATTTGTGGTACAATGGACGGATGGAAATCTCCACAAGGTCTTGAATTCTTTAGTTTTACCTTACACTATTTATACAAATCTCAGATGAAGTCAAGAGTTCTGGAATTGTCTGAATTTTCGGATTCTCATAATGCTGATAACATTTCAGATT